GGAGCCAGAATGTGGTTTCTGTGGATGATAAAGCTCGGAGCCCTACTGAGAACCACAGATCTGAAGGAGCCCTCTGGGCCAGCTGACAGCCATTGTTTCCAGCCTCCAATCAGGAGCACCCACTTCCTGTTATTTTAGGCAGCAGGAAATGACCCCATCCCACAGCCTGGGCTCCACCATGTCCCTCCCTCCACCCCAGCAGGGCAGCTCAGGCAGAGGCCTAGTTGCTGAGGGCAGAGGCTATCTAGTCTGACACTACTTTGGGTTCAGGACCTCCTTATTCAATTTGCTCAGACTCCAACCTGGTAGGATTCACAGGGAACCCAGGGCTCTACTTTTTCCTACTGGAGAAGAGATCAGTGCATTCCCAAGACTAAGATGCCCACAGGTGGCAGACTCCTGTAATCCCAGCACTTGGGAGGCTGAAGCAGGACGACTGCCTCAAGTTCAAGGTCAGCTTGGGCTAACTAGTGAGTTCGAGGCCAGCCTGGCACTTTATAGAAGGGAAACAGGCCAGACACTGTCACTGGCTAGCATGGCCATAATTCAGCTTAGAGATTTGCTGCAAACTTTAAAATTAGACCTGATTTCAAATCCTGCCTCTGTTCTTAGCTGTGTCACTTAAGGCAAGTGACTTCAACTCTCTGGGCTGCATCTGTAAAATGGGGTAATACTAGCCCCTACTCTTAAGACAGTCCTGAGAAACAAATGAGACAATGCACTTGATATGCTGAGTACAGTGCCTGGCACAGTGAGGTCCCTTGACAATAGGAGTGGGAGACCATAAATGGAGATAAACTGGTTCACGAGGGACTCTGCGCCTGGCTCACATCCCTTACAACCAGTGAGGATCGCTAATGGGGGGCAGCAATACTATGCACTCTACCCGCTTACAGTCTCTCTGCTTCCCTCAGGCAGAGCTGCAGCTGAGAGGTGATGGAGGAAACACTGCAGGCTGTGCCCTGGGTGCCAGGCAGAGCTACCACCAGTCAACAAAGCTGCATTATCTGAGCTTGGCTTCTTGGCTCCCTCCCTGGCCTTGAGGGGACCCAAGGACATGGTTTCCAGCTGTTTGTGACCTCATTTCCAGGCTGGGTCAGACCTGAGCCCTGCCCTTACACCCTCAAGTGCCACCACTCTTGTCCCTGCTTTCAGACTTTTGCCTCTTCCCTCATCCTTGCCGCACTAACAGTAGGTGCCCATCCTGGGCAGGGAAGAGGGCTAAGCTGGCCTATTGCTCCTTCCTCCTCATTTGCATATGTGTGACTGCACATTAGGGGCTCATTAGAGGCCTCATTACTGGGCCCACCAGTCAGCCCAAGGGTGGGAGGAGCTATCAGCAGGAGGTAACTGCCTTAGGTATAGCTGTGGCCCATTGTACCAGTCTCACCAACTTCTACTCACTCTTTCAGGTCTACCTCAAATGCCTCCTCCCCGCTGTGAAGGCTTCTACAGGCAGAGCCCACAGCCACCAGATCATCACTGCACCTGACTTCCCTTGGGCAAAGGTCCCTGCAGTAAACACATCTGCTTTCCTCATGGGACTAGGGGCCAGGAGCTCCCACAGAGGACTGTCTGATTCAGCCTCCTATGCTTAGCACTGCCAGCACAGCAGTGGCACATAGCAGGGAACCAGTATAGTGTGCAGGACAGCTGTGGCACCCATCTCTTGGATCTTCTCTCCCAGTCCCACTGTGCCATGTCCGGTACAGGGGCCCCTCTGTTCCCCAGATAGACCCTGGCTCATGTTTGCTCAGAACTCTCCTTCCCTGGCCCTCTGTCTTATTTACCTCCTGCAGTTCTATTCATCACATCTCCTCAGGCATCTGAAGTTATGAGAAATAGCAACACAAACCAAAGCACCAGCATTTATTGAACACTAATACCTTGCCAAGGCCTAACGCTGAGGTTTTTGTTTGTTTTGTTCGTTTGGTACTGGGGAGATTGAACCCAGGGGCACTCTACACTCTACCACTGAGCTATACAGCCCAGATCCTTTTGTTTACTTATTTTTATTTTGAGACAGGTTCTTGCTAAGTTGCCCAGGTGGACTGAACTTGTGTTCCTTCTGCCTCAGGGTTTCTCAGTATAGGATTACAGGCATGAACCATCATGCCTGGTTTGTGCTAAAAATTGTATGTGTTAGGGGGAGGGAGAGTTGGGGAAGGGGAAGTAAAAAGAATTAAGATGTGTTTTGTACATATACCAACTCTTCATGATGAATACAATCACGTACTGCAAACACGTACTAATAAAAATAAAATTTTTTTAAGGAAAGAATTTTATGTATTCATCTCACTTAAAGATCCTAATGTCTCTGGGAGATAATTTGTTACCGTTATTTTCATTTTACAATGTGAAGATTTAAGACTTAGCTTAAATGACTTCCTGGAAGTCACACAGTAGTGTTATGAAGTAGAACTTAAACTGTTTGATTCCAGAGTCTACACTCTTACACAAACTGCTTTCAATTCCCTGACCCTGCCCGCCCCCGTATTTCATGCTTCCCCTCTGGCACCAGTTCCAGTGAGCCTAACCACAATAATGGTAATAACACTTTATTGCAGGTGCCTGTGTGCCAGGTTCGTTCAAGTTCACCCCTTCTCCAACCCTTGCATTAACCCCACCAGATTTTTTCTTTTTTTCTTTTTTCTTTTTTGTCTTTTTGAGACAGGGTCTCGCTATGCAGTTCAGGCTGTGCTTGAGCTCACTTTGTAGCCCAGGCTGGTCTCGAACTCACAATGATCCTCCTGCCTCAGCCACTCGAGTGCTGGGATTACAGGCGTGCGCCACCATGCCTGGCTAAGCCCACCAGATTGATACTGCCCCCATTTTCTGGGGCAGAAACTGTGGCTTCAGGAAATAATCACTTGCTCCAGTCCAGTGGCCAGTAAAGACCCCATCTGGGATTTCCCATCCAGGTCTTCTGATTCAAAAGCGGGAGCCTCCTTTTCTCCTACCCTATGCTGTCTCCTGTTAGTGCCCAGTGTACAAGTACACAAAAAGGAGACGCAAAGAGAGCAGGGGGTCACATCCCATACACTCAGAGGTTCAGATACGATATGGGCCTCAAGCTCCCTGAGGGCACAGGCTGTGGGTATGACATTTATTCCCAGTGAGCCCCTACCTCATAGGAGGACTCCTGTCACCTTCAGCTTCTGTCTGTGTGAGGACTAGCTGCCACCCTGCCCCAGGTTCTCATGTAACTCCACCTACACCCTGTGACTGGAGATTCTCCCCAATCCCAAACCCTGTATGTAGTCCCCACCCTGAACTAGGCCACTAGGCCCTCCCAGTACTGGCAAGCATCCCATTCATGCCCTTATATCCAGTCCAGTCCCCCAACCCAATGCCCTAATTATAAACTAGCCACTGCTCAAGTCCTCTACTGATCACTACTCCTATTCAGGCCCCCATATATACATCAGTGCCAAGAACCTTCAGGTGCAGGGGGCCAGTAAGCAGATGGATGACCAAGCTGGGCATCTCTGGGTGTCCCCTCGTAGGATAAGCAGAGCCAAGACAGACATCCTTGTTTTCAGCACAGCCTACAAACCCCCTGACCTCCCCAGGCTGGTGGTAGCCTCCCTTCTGTGTCCTCCCATACCCAACACCCACATGGTCCCCTCTAAGCACCCATCCTGGCATGGGGAGGGGCCCGGGAGGGGCCCACCCACAGCTCAAGTGGCCCCACCTTGTCCTGAGCTCTCTCTGCACCCACAGACACTGTTTCATCCTGGGCCCACGCCCCAAGGGGCAGGGAGGTGACAGGATTAGGTTTGGGATTTCATAGGGGTGTGAGGATGGAGCCACCTCCCCCCTGAGTCAGTGGGAACAGAAAGAAATTGGGTCCTCATCATCATTCTCTTTCCTCCTCTTCCAGGAAGAGAAAAGCCCTCCCTCCAACCCCAGGCCCAACCAGAAACCTGTCCCCACCCCCTCATCAGCTGCTCCCAGATCGAATGGGATTTGCAGAAGTCCTGGGGACTGGTGGCTGGTGGGGTGAGGGGTGGAAGGGGAGCTCTGGCGGTCTGGGGCCTGGAAATCTAGTGAGTGAGTGTGTGTATGGGGGGCACTGAGAGAGGAAGTAGGTATTCACAGCCTCAGGCTGGGGAATGATGTGGCAGGCCCTGCAAGCCTACAAGCACCGGCCTTGAGCCTTCACCTCATTCTGCAGTGTGCGACTCAGTCCCCGAGAAGCTGAGAAGGCGCGCGGGCAGGACAACCAGATTTACTTTTGTCCTCTCGCCCAAATCGGTCTGGGTGGGCTCCGGAGCAGACCAGGCTGCAGGGGAAGCGGCCCACTCCCCAGCTCCCGCCCTCGCCCCAAACAATGCCGCCTCCCCCTCCCCCTCGCCTTTATCCGGCGGGTTACTTGGCAGCCGCCGCTAGAGACCTCCCCCTCCTCTCCCTCCCTCCCTCCCTCCCCGCCCGGCCGCAGCAGCAACAGGCCCTTTGCGCGGCAGCTGGACGGATGGGGTGGGGGCGAGGTCTGAGTCTGGACCTGGGCCTGGGCGCGGGGGCGCGAGATCTTCGGCTTCGGTGTGCAGGGCCTGAGGATTTGGACCCCCAACACATACATTCAGGCTAGGGTCACAAGTGCCCACAGAGGATGGGGCGCGGGGACAGAAGCCCAAATCAGAAGAGGAATCTTCAGGGCCCGGGTAGATCGGGAAAGGGGATGACGTGGGAAGCCGCGGTGACATAGGGCTGCGACGGAAGGGTCACCCCAACCGTTCCCGAGCCGGGTCCCAGCGGATCCCGCTGCCCAGTGCGTTCCGGCGCCGGAGGTGGGGGAGGGGGCCGCTGTCAGAAGATGCGGCGGTGGCCCGGAGCCGCCGTCGCCGCCACAGCCTTTATTTTTAAACTTCCAAGTGGTTAGAGGGCGCGGCGCGGGGGGGTGGTGTCCCCCGTCCCTTCCTAGCGGCCGGCCTCATCCTCAGCCTCCCCGCAACCCCTCGACCTTCCTCCCACCGCGCCTCCGCGTGGCGCCCGCGTACCTGGGGGCGCGCCCGGCTCTGGCTCCGCACGAGGGCCGCGCTCCATGGCTGCGGCGTCACGCGGAGGGGGGGGCGTCTTGGGGTCTCAGCGGCGGCGGCGGCGGCGGCCCGAGGCCAGGACAGGAGTCCCACGGCGCATCACGCCCGGCCCGCCCTGCGGGCAACGACTAGGAAGCGGCGGCGCTCCGTGGAAGTCGAGGCTGGTGGCCTGCGAGGCTCGGAGTCGCCGGCTGTCCAGGGTCTGTCGCTCCGGTCGCGCTCCGGCTCCCAGACCGATGCCGGCCCAGTCGCGGCCGCGGCCCAACCCTATTGTACAGCCCGGGCTGGGCCTGGCCTCCTGCTGGCGCGTACCAAGTGCGGCGCGGGGAGGGCCGACTCCTCAGCGCGGGGAGCCGAGCGACCACCGGTCGGCCACGCCCGGTACCCCGCCCTGGGGCGCGGCACTTGAAGCCGCCTGACACTGCTTCTGCGACTGCAGCGGACGCGGCGCCGCGGCTCCGGGAGGACGTCGGCCGAGCCGCCTCCCCCTGCGGCCGCACTTGGTACGCGCTGCCGCGCGAATAGACTAAGTAGGGAGCGCTCGAGTGACTCACCCGCCACTGGGACTCGGGGAGTGGGAGCCTCCAATCCCACCATGAAGCCTGAGGGCTCTGGCTTGGGGCTGAGCAAGCAGCTTCAATCAAGCTTCTCCCAAACCCACCTCAAAGAAAATCTGCCCAGGGCATGTCAAGAGGCATGAAGGAGGGTCGCAAGGAGACCCCGCAAAGGGCTAAGCATTCTCCTCTCTCCGGATGGCTGGAAAGCGGAGAGTTCTGGGTGCCTTGCTGCTGCCCTTCCTTTAGCATCCTAGGGTTGGTGTCTTCTCTGTTTCTCTGGGGTAATTACAGTCTTTTGCGGCTGCTTTACCCAGAGCTCTAATCTGGTGGGTCCCTCCCGGCTCCAAACTGGGTGGTCCTGGCCCTAAACTTCCCTACCCCCACCACAACCCCCCCATCTCTCCCGAAGGATTTTCTGTCCTGTGGCCTTTTGATGAGGGGGTGGGCTCCTCCTGACCCTCCTACCCAAAGTGCCCTGCTTTCCAGCCCTCTGGAGTGGGCTCCCCAACCCCCTTGTTCGTGCCAGCTGAGGTGAGGGCCTCACGCCAAGTCCCGCTGAGCCCGGGGCAGAGGGGGCCTTGCCGGGAAGGTGGATCGATGATGGTGCTGCTGCAGGACTGACCGAGGGAGGAAGGAGGAGGGGCACCTGGGCTCTGCCCACCCTGGCCCTGGCCTTTGTCCTGACCTCCAGAAGGTCAGTTCTCTAGTTCTCATTGTCCAGAGATTAGGCCCAGTGAGGTGGTGTCCCCCTTCCCCCTTTCTCGCCACAATCGCCTTCCCTTGAGCAGCTCCAGAGAGAAGGTATTTAAAGGGGGACGTTGGAAAACAAAAGGACTGGGGGCTCAAGCGACCTAGGGACAGCCTGTCTTGAGACTTGTGAGTAGCTGGGCATTTCGACACTCATGGAAGGCGGTGAGGAGGGAGTGACACTAGAAGAGGATGATGATGAAAGGCCTGCAGTTGGAGCTGGTGATTTAACTTTAAACTAGTGACTTAGCTTTTCTGAAACCAGATTTGCTCACCTATAAAGTCAGGAAAATAATAGGATCATGAAGTATCATGGAGTCATTGTAAAGTTTAAATAAGGCAATGCAGGGCCTGGTGCAGTGGCACACACTTTTAGCCCCAGTATTCTGGGAGGCTGGCCTTAGACATCTTGGTGATCCTCCTGCCTCAGCCTCCCTAGTGCTGGGATTACAGGTGTGTGCCACCATACCCAGCAAAACCCTGTTTTAAAATAAATAAAAAATTTAAACTGGGCATGGTAGTGCACACCCTTAATGCCACCACTCAAGAGGCTCAGGCAGGAGGATCATTGCAAATTTGAGGCCAGCCTGGGCTACAAAGTGACCTCAAGGCCAGCCTGAACTGCATAGTGAGACCCTGCCTCAAAAAGACAAAATAAATAAATAAATTTTAAAAATAAAATAAAATAAAATAAAAAATTTTTAAAGGGTTGGGATATAGCTCAGGGCAAAGGCCTTGGGCTCAATCTCTGGTACTAGGGAAAAATAGAAATGAGGCAATGCTGATACAGAGCCTGGTATATGGGAAGTGCTCTATAAGTATGATGAAGAAGGTTTTGATAGTGAAGGGGTTTCCAGTGCAAAGAGGATTAAGATGGGGAGCAAATTCCCCATCTTTGTGGTTAGCCATCCCACCTACACAGTAAGGGGGCCATGTGTAGATAATGGGGTCTACAACTATACTTTGTAGAGTCAGAGGCATCGGGGCCTGGATCTTCCAGAGCTAGACAGGCCCATAGGTTTAAGATAATTCAATATGATGGTGTACACTTGTAGTCCTAGCACTTGGGAGGCTGAGGCAAGAGGATCACCTCAAATTCTGGGCCAGCCTGGGCTACACAGTGAATTCAAGGCCAGCCTGAACCACAGAGTAAGAACTTGTCTCCAAAGAACTAAAATAAAATAAAATAATAATAATAATAATAAGGCAGGAGAGAGAGAGAAAGATAGAGAGAGGGAGAGACCAAGAAGGGAGAGCCCCATTTTGAGGTTACTATAAGGATAAAGATAGATATGTGGGAATGGTGAAACACCCTCACTGGCTACAGCTAAGAAATAACAGAGGGGGAAATGATAGCTAACATGAAAAGATAGGCCCAGGAATGGGCTCTATACTACATAAGAGGATTTAAATGCCAGTTGACTTGAAAATGTAGATCCCAGGAAGCTGTTGAGGATCCAGGGGTTCTCAGAACTGGAGACTATATCTAATTATCTGAATTGACTTGGGGATCTCACTGAAAAGAGGCAGCATGTAGTGTAAGCTTTTATCAGTAGTTCTGTTCTAAGAGCAATTCTGTGTCCCTTCTGGACAGAGGAACATCTGGCAATGCTTACAGCTGTTTTGGTTGTCACATCTGGGGATGCCACTAAAATCTAATGAATGGATGCCAGGAATGCTGCTTAACAACCCACCATGCCCAGGCCCATTTCCCACAGCAAACAGTTATCAGGTACAGACTATCAATGATGCCAAGGTTGAAACACTTCCCACCCATACTGAGATTCCTGAAGCTCCCCAAGATGCTGTTGCTAGAGACCAGTTACGCAAATGGGGAGTGAGGCAACTTGACAGGCAGGTGTCTCCAGAAGGCTTCTTGCACAGCTGATGGGCCATAGAGAACCTGGGAAGATGGCTTGGGGGAACCCAGAGAATGGAGTGCCCTAGGTGATGCAGTCAAAGTGGACAGATGGAGTAGGCGCCTTTCCTTCTCCCCTAATGGATCAGGATTCCTGGCAGGTCCCAGGCCCCAGTAACTAACTGGGGTTTGATAATGGTGTCTCTCTGAGTTTGGGGTCAGGTGATGGTGCCTGGAGACTCCACATGACTCCATATAGTTAGACACCCCAGCCAGGAGTGGTGGCATATGCCTGTACTCTGACAGGCTGAGTCAAGAGGAGTACAAATTGGAGTCCAGCCTGTGCAATTTAGCAAGATTTGGTTTTGTTTGGTTTTGTTTTGTTTTTAAATCAAGTTAGATAGAGAAGGGGCAAGTGGGGCTCTTGCAACAGCAGAAGTAAACCCTCAACACAGTGCTCTACCCTCATTAGTGAGGGACAGGGAACTTCTGTCACCTCTTCTGAAGCCCAGGGCAGCGCCTTCCTCCTCCACGGAAACAGGCACGAGTGAGCCCTTAGTCTCTTACCACAAGGCTGGATTGGGGTTAGGGACAGGCCTCTGAATGAGGATCAGAAATATGTCCTCTTCCTGATCCTCCCAGAGGGAGGACAGGAGCAAGAGCACTTTAACCTGCTAGGTTTAGTGGAGTAGAGCCCAGAATGAACCTGATGAAGAGGTGAAGAAATCACTGGGAAATTTGACTCAGATATAAATCGCAGGTGGAGGCCCTAGATGCTGCCTCCCTATTCACAAAGTAGGAAGTGGGAGGTGCCTTCAGGGGGCAGCTGAAAGAACAGACATCAGAGTCTCACTCCCGCTCTACCTCTAAGGCCCTGCACCACGAAGGGGTCTCTAATCCAGACTGGCTCTCCTGGACAGCCTTAGCCTCCAGGCCCCACTGCCTGGGTCTGGGTCCAGGAACATCCTCAAAGGCAGTGGGCTCCTACTGTCTCTCTCCCGGTGGCTCTTTTTTTTTTGGTCTTTTCTTCCGGTACCAGGAATCGAACTCACAACCTTGCACTTGCCAGGCAGGCGCTTTGCCGCTGAGCTAAATCCCCAGCCCCTCTCCTGATGGCTCTTTGAGAGGGGAAGTACCAGGGAAGCATGGAACAAGTAGGAACTCAGATTCCATACTAAATACGTTAAACCATTAGGAGTCCTTGTTAGAGTCCCTGATGGGGAGCTAGCCCTGCTTGCATCCTTTTCCAAAAGACAAGCATAGATAAGGGGTGCCTGGTTTTTTTTAATTGTCCTTGACCCTAGAGTGGTGGGGAGAGGTTGGAATTTCACAATGGTGGAAACTATACTGAGAAACCTTGGACTAGCTGTATAAGGAGTTGCTGTACTGAGTGTCCTCAGACTAACTATATAAGGAGTTTTTTCTTTTTTCCCTCCTGGAGATTGAACTCAGGGCCTTGTGCATGCAAAGCATGCATTTCTATCACTGAGCTACACCCCTAAAAGAGCTTTTCTGTGGTTTTTGTTTTATTTTGTTTTGTTTTTTGGTTTTGTTTAGTCTTTTTGAGACAAGGTCTTGCTATGCAGTTCAGGCTGGACTTGAGCTAACTTTGTAGCACAGGCTGGTCTTGAACTCACAAGGAGCCTCCTGCCTCAGCCTCCTGAGTGCTGGGATTACAGGCGTGCACCACCAAGCCTGGCTATGTTTCTTTTTTATTGGTTCATTTTAGATATACCAATTTAGATATTTAGATACACATAATGATCACATTCCTCATAGGGAATTTGTACCTGAACATGATATACCTTGCTTCTTCTTTTTTTTCCCCATTCCCTCCCCCTGCCTTCAACCCCTCTTCCCCTCCTTATTTACAAGAGCTTTGTTTCCATTTTTTCCTTTTATTCTCTTTTTTCTTTCTTCTTTTCTTCTTGTTTCTTTTATGTTTCAATGTGAGTAAGGAAGACGCCTTATTTAGATCAACAGATGGATCCCACTCTCACCCTTAATTCAGGACTGATGACACTGCAAGGACAAGTCCCAAAGTGAAAGCAACGCCAAGGGGACAAATCAGCAGCAAAGAGGAAGAATCTCAGAGGCTGTGAGGCAGGCAGGGAGAGGCTCCGCCTCCAATTTCTCCAGAACCGCCAGGCTGACAGCAGGCTGGGTGGGGTTGGGCGGCTGGCCGTGACTGTGACTCAGGTTTCTGTGGGCAGCCAAGGCAGCCGGCAGGGAGGAGCCCAGACCGACAGACAGGCTGGCCAACTGCAGCTTTCACCTCAGCTGTCCTCTCTCCTGGGAATGTGGGATCTCCCATGCTGATCTCCCAGGGCTAGCTGTCCCCTGCTTTTCTCTGTTCCCTTCAACCACCACTAATATTCCTTCTCAGAGTCCTTAGCCTTTGGCTCATTCCCCTGGGTATGACACAGGAGTGAGTCAGGGGTCACTGCCTCTAGGGAGGCTCTAGAATGTGCCACAGGGAGAAGGGTATAATAATAATTGGTCCTGCACCCTCAGGAAGGGACTGGGGGAACTCCTGGGCCTCTCTAGCCTATCCCAACCTAAGCTGACTCCTCTGCACAGGCTGGTTGTCATGGTGAGGGTTAGGGGCTAGAATACAGCTGCCACAGAGTCAGGCTACCAGGCTGAAATGCTCGAGGACTCCACCTTCCCCAGCTCTGTCCCCTCAGATTTGACCACTAAGGAGAGATGGCTGGAGCTGAAAACAAAGAGCTGTGATCTGTGACTATGGTACTTACCCTTCGTGACGGGTGAGAGTTCAACCAGTACATTTCCCAATATTTGTTGGGCTGTGTTTTTAGTAAGTGGCTGGAAGGAAGGAAAATGCACATTCACTGTGTGCCTTTTATGTTTCTTGCATGCATGCATCATCAACTGAGTGAGATCCAGCAACTGGCCTCAGATGGCAAAGCCTGGATTAAAACTCAGAAGTGGCTGGTGGTCTTTTTTCTTTTCGCTTTCTTTTTCTTTTCTTTTTTTTTTTTTTTGGTGCTAGGAATCGAATTCAAGACCTTGCACTTGCCAGGCAGGCACTTAGGCAGCTGAGCTATATCCCCTGCCCCTCTTTTTTTTCTGAAAACCAGGCAGTGTAGCTGTTTTAGGGAAAGAGGGAGAAGAAAGTGACTTGGATTTTATCTAAAAGACTGGCAGGAGTTCGAACTAGATGGTAGTTTAAAAAAAAAGTCACAGGGCTGGGGATTTAGCTCAGCGGCAAAAGCGCCTGCCTGGCAAGCGCAAGGTCGTGAGTTCGGTTCCCGGTACCGGAGAAAAACCACACACACAAAAAATAATAAAAAAAAATAAAAAAAAAAAAAAGAGAAAGTGACTAGCGAAATTCTTGACACAGAGTAGGTGTTCATCAACATTTTTTATAATAGGGGTTGGTGCTGTTGCTCGGAAGTAGAGCACTAGCATGTGCAAGGTCCTGGGTTCAATTCCCAGCTCTGGAAAAATAAAAATAGGAAGCCAGTGTGTGAGCCATTGCTAGTTTTCTGCGACATCCTGGGAGCTTCTGGCGCTGAACTGCAGCAACAGCGGAAGCAGCTAGTTCGAAAGAGGGACTTTCCAAGACCAACCCGCGGGAAAGGAATTTGCAGCGCATCTTTGAACCGAGCGTCGGGGAGGAAAAACAGGGGACAGTGGGTGGACGACACAGGACTGCTGCAAGCTACGGACGCCACCCAGCGGCAGAACGCAACCCGAGGTCCAGGAGCTGAAAGCCAGGCGCGCGCAGCTCTCCGGCACTCGTAGTTGCACTGCACAAGGGGCGGGGCTTCCACTGGGGCGGTCGGGCGCTGTAGTCCTGCGTTCGTTGGGCGGAGTTACTCCTTAGAGGGACCACGAGTCCCATGGTGCCCAGCGGCACCCACGCAGACGCGGTGAAGCCGAGCTGATTAGTCCCGGAGGCAAAGGGGCCTTGGCTGGGTCGGGCGGCGTCTGGAGGGTCCTCTGGAAGGCTTGTGGCAGGGCTGAAGAGGGAGGTCGGCACCATGTCGAGGCAGGCGAACCGTGGCACTGAGAGCAAGAAAATGGTAATTTGGAGCGCGTGACCCCGGCGGGCGGAGCGGAATAAAGGCGTATGGGAGAAAGGGCCTGGCTCCCGCGCCCGCGCTAGGCACGATTGGGAAAGAGCCCTCCTGAAAGCTGTGGAAGGAGGCAGTTGTCTGGGGGCTCAGCCTGGGGGCTTGAGCAGGTGGGGGCTTGAGCAGGTGCTCGAGTAGCTCCCCGCAGGAGACCGCCGTGCAGCTGTGTTCTAGACCGACGACAGCGACTGCAATAAATGATAGTAACTGCCACTTGCTGGTCCCTTACGGTGTGTCGGGCCCTGGCCCAAGCATTTTACGTACATTCTCTCACTTAAGCCGCGGAGGAGGGCTGGGGATATAGCTCAGTGGCATAAGCGCCTGTCTGGCAAGCGCAGGCTCGTGAGTTCGATCCCCGGTACCGGAAAGAGGAAAAAAAAAAAAATCCGCGGAAGAACTCTGCTAGGAGGGTGATGATGTAACTCGCCCACATTTACATCTAGGAGTGAGGATTTGAGTTGCTAACTTCACCCTGCGCTGTGGGCATTGTGAGATGTGCTTTGGTATTGATCTTTTCAGAAAAGAACTTTATTCTATTGAGCGGCCGGAGTGAGTGAGGGGACCCCCTCTAATAGTAGAGAAGGCGGGGCTTCCCTCTTGCCCTAGGAATAGTAGAACGCAATAAAGGGTCTGAGGACCCAGTCTGGACTGGAACGTATATAACATTTTTCTCCAAGGCTTTCCTGGCGGTTGTTCCTTTTCTTTGGCTTAGTCTCTTCCCAGTTTGCCCATGCCATGTCTTTATTTATTTATTTATTTATTTATTTATTGTTCTTTTTGAGACAGGGTCCCGCTATGCAGTTCAGGCTGGCCTGGAGCTCACTTCGTAGCCCAGGTTGGTTTCGGACTCTCAATGATCCTCCTGCCTCACTGTGCCATCACACCTGGCTAATCTGTTGATGGGCACCTAGGCTACTTCCGTATCTTAGCTATTGTGAATTATGCTGTAGTAAACATGGGTGTGCAAGCATCTCTACAGTATGCTGACTTTAATCCCTTTGGATGTATATGAAGAAGTGCTATGGCTGGATGAAATGGTAGCTTTGATTTTGTGGTATTTTTATACTACAAAAATACCTTATAAATACCTTAGGTGGTATTTTTGATTTTCTGAGGAACCTCCATGTTGATGTCTATAGGGGCTATACTGATTTACACTCCTGCCAGCAGTGAAGAAGACCCCCCACACACATCCTTTACAGCATTTGTTGTTTATTATTATTATTAGTGGTAGTGGAAGGTGAACCCAGAGCCTTCACATTGAGCTACATCCTCAGTGCCCCCCTGCCCTACTTTTTTAAAAAAACTGGGTCTTGCTAGATTGACCAGACTTGTCCCTTTTTTTGGACACAGGAACTTGGTATGTAATTCAGCCCAGCCTTTATGTAGTTTAGGCTGGCCTCAAACTCACAGTGCTCCTCCTGCCTCAACCTCCTGAGTGCTGGGATTGCAGGTGTGTGCTACCACGCCTAGCAACCCAGGCTAGCTTTTTGTTATCAGCAGGCAAACTCAGGACCTTGTGATTGCCAGGCAGGCACTGTTCCTCTGAGCTATCTTCCCAGCCAGCCCCCAGGCTGGTTTTTAGCTTGCAGTCCTCCAGTCCTCCTGCCTTAGACCACTGAGATTACAGAGATGCGCTACTATACTTAGCTTGTTTTTTAAATTCTGACTGAGGTGATGTGGAATCTCAGTGTAGTTTTTTTTTTTTTTTTTTTTTTTCCTCCCGGTACTGGGGATCAAACTCACAACCTTGTGCTTGCCAGGCAGGCACTTATGCCACTGAGCTATATCCCCAGCCCCTGTTTGTTTTCTGTTTTGACAGAGTCTCACTATGTAATTCAGGCTAGTCTTAAATTTAGTGTGTAGCCCAGGCTGGCCTTGAACTTATAGCGATCCTCCTGTCTTAGCCTCCACCCCGGTTTAAAAGTTTTCTTCTATAGGCTATCTCTTCACATTATTATTTCCCTTGCTATGCAGAAACTTTTTAATTTTATGTAGTTTCATTTGTTCTTTCTAACTATCATTTCCTGTGCTATTGGAGCCCTATTTAGGAAGTCTTTGCCTCTTGCTTCAGGTGTTTCCCCTATGTTTTCTTTCAGCAGTTGCAAAGCTTCAAGTCTTACACCTAGGTCTCCGAATTGATATTTGTACCGAGTGGAAGACAGGGATCTAGTTTCATTCTTCTGCATATCCAGTTTTCCCAGCACCACTTGTTACAGAGAGGATCTTTTCTCCAGTGTATACGTTTTGCCCCTTTGTCTAGCGTAAGAGGACTGTAGCTGTGAGGGTTTGTTTCTGTGCCCTCTGTTCTGTTCCTTTGGTCTGTGTATCTATTTTTGGGCCAGTACCATTCTCTTTTGTTATTATCGCTTTGTAATATAATTTGAAATTGGTTATTGTGATGTCTCCAGCCTTGGTCTTTCTGTTTAGATTGCTTTGGCTATTCTATTTTATTTTTGTTTTGTTTTTATTTTTGAGCAGGGTCTTCCTACGTAGTTTATCCTGGCCTAGAATTCATAACTCATGGTGATCCTCTTCCCTCAGCATCCCCAAGTGCTGGGAGTATAGGCATGTGACATCTCACTCCGTATTCCGGGTCTTTTGTGGTTCCGTATGATTTTGTTTTTTCTAGTTCTGGGAAGAATGTCATTGCGATTTTTCTTCCAGTACTGGGGATAGAACCAGAGTGTTTGCACTGAGCTACATCCTTAGCCTTTTTTTTTTTTTCTTTGTTCCGATGTCGGGAGTCAAACTCACGACCTTGCTCTTGCCAGGCAGGTGCTGTGCTGCTGAGTAAATCCCCAACCCCCATTTTTTTTTACTTTTTTTTTTTTTTTTAACTTTTTTAAAAATTTGAAGCCAGGCGTGGTGGCTCACAGCTGTAATCCTAGCACTCCAGAGGCTGAGGCAGGAGGATTACTGTGCGTTCAAGGCCAGCCTTGGCTACAAAGTGAGTTCAAGGCCAACTTGAGGTGCATAGCAAGACCCTGTCTCAAAAAGAAAAAAAAAAATTGAGATAGGGTTTCACTCAGTTGGTAGTTTGCTCAGGCTAGGCTCGAATTTGTCATCCTCCTGCCTCAGGCTCCCAGAATGCTAGAATTATAGTTATGCAGCACCACACCTAGCTCTCTCTCACTTTAATAAAGGAAGCAATAACAGTACTTAGCTTTGTAGATTGTTCAGAGGGTCAGTTGAGAAAATGTGTGTAAAGCTAGCAGCTTAACAGTGACTTAGAGTACAGGTGACAATGTGCCAGCATCTTTGTTAGTAAATTTATTAATTTTTGTGTGTCTGTATCATAGGTGGCTCTTAAATCCCAAGGACAGTGAGGCCTTCCCTTTTGTGTTAATTAACCAGCCCCAATGTCTATTCTTCAAAATTCAGGTGAGTTACTAAGTAAGTACCCGCATTTAGAGTCTCCAGGACCAGAGAGTAGAAGGTGAGAGGGGGCTGAACATAGTCTTTTTACTAAACCTGCAGCCCTAGCTACTGGAAAGAGTTCACACTGGATTACCTGTTTTCAGAAAAATAGCTCTTAGGCCAGACATGGTGGTGCATGCCTGTAATCCCAATATTTGGACCATGAGTTCAAGGCCAGCCTGGGCTCCATAATGAGTTCAAGGCCAAACTGAACTATGTAACAAGAACCTCTCAAAAAAAAAAAAAAAAAAAAGTATGACTCTTGGAGCCTTAGCTCTAAACAGCAGCCTGTAAGGCATTTGAATGTCTTGTTTGGGGCACTGACTGAAAGGCCTTCTAAGACCCATGCGGTAGTGGTGCATCTGAGGGTAGGGATTGGCTGAACTTGCTTTTTTATTTATTTATTTATTTATTTATTATTTATTTAGGCTTAACTTTCTTTGCCCAGGTTGTTTCTGAAGTACGTGGAGATCATTCTGGCATAACTGCCATAATCCTGTGGATTTTTGTCTGCAAAACATCTTCTTATCCATTATCTGATTAGGTGTTCCCGACAGCCTTCTTGAGTCACATGACAGGTTTTACTGTTACTGTTTTTGTGTGATGAGACTGAAGTTTACAAAGTAATTTTTAGGTGAGTTCTCACAGCTGTGAAGGAGCAAGTCAGAGCATCTGTAAACCTAGTTTTCTTTCATGTTTCTTGTTGTTTACAAAGTTCTTTATATTGATTCAGAATTTCCCTCCTTTGTCAGCTTGTAACCTACTTCAGGATGTGCTCTGGCAGCACCCTACCTAGAACCCATTTAAGAAATTTTTAGGGGCTGGGGATTTAGCTCAGCGGCAAAAGCGCCTGCCTGGCAAGCGCAAGGTCATGAGTTCGGTTCCTGGTACTGGAGAAAAACCAAAAAAAAGAAAGAAATTTTTATTTTATTTTTATTTATTTTTATTTTATTCAGGAAAAAATTTAAAAATAAAAAGAATAAAAATAACAGGGCTGGAGTGTAGCTCAGTGGTAGTGTTTGCTGAGTATGCATGAGGCCCTAGGCTCAACCCCCAGCACAAGGAAAAAAACGTCTTCTTGAGTACCTGTTCTGCAGCTGGTCCTCTAGACATCATTGTTTCATTGGAATTGTACTGTAACGCTGAAGGGAAGAAGATCATATGGGCATGGTGGCACACACTTGTAATCTCAGCACTCTGGGAGGCTGAGGCAGGGGGATTGCAAGTTTAAACCCAACCTGGGCAATTTGGTAATTTAGTGAGGCACTGTCTCAAAATTAAAACAAAAAA